CTGCCCAGCTCAGTCCTCTAGGATAGAGAGGCAGTCAGGGAATAAGAGACCTGGAACAAACAGCGTACATATGTTTGACACTTCCTCTGTGCTGTCACTACACTGGGCTACAGAGAGAGATGCCCTGACCTAAAGCCTGTCTGAACCAGGGATCGCTCCATGGCGCTACAGAAACAAACATGGATGTAGGGGCTGAATATAACCCGAACGCAGCTTTGCAAAGTTTTAAAAACTTACCCAGCCACTCACATTCAACTTGGCCAAAAATTCTCCATGACCTCACTCCTTTTTATGAGCAGCTGTCCTGATACTAATCCTGCCTCTTTCCGTAATCCCTCTTTCATGAGACTGAGGGAACGCGTCATGAGCCTAAAGCAAATACACTCACAGAGCCCTGCACTTCGTAACTCGCATCACCACTGCAATGCGATCATGCGCTTGTCTAACGCTCCACTGCCGGGACGTAAGCCTGACTGCGTCTCCTGTGTGCACGGCTGGGGCCCTGGCACCAAGCCTGGCACAGGCAGCACTGGGTGCATATTTGTTGAGCGCCTGTTGGCATGCTGCAAACATGGGAGCAAGGAATAGGTTAGGTCTGGGAAATTACGTCCCTTCTGATGAAGGCTAAAGAAAAGGAAATCTACTTGGAATTCCATCAGATAGGTATGGGTTGGTCATTTAAAAGAATAGAATAGCTATATGTTAGGTTTTTTGAACTTGTGTCTCCTGTTCTTTCTCTCTCTCTAATATCCCATAAGGAAGGGTACATGAAAGGAACCTATTGAAGAGTTCACTCAAGTCATGCTCTTGGGACTAGACAGACCCTTCACAGCCTTCATAGCGGAGCTGCCTACTCAGTGTTTCAAACTTTATAAAAGTCAGGTGGTTTTTCCAGCCTCTGGACATGATGAAAGAAACCACCTCTTCCCAGTGCTTTTTAGATTGGGTGCTAAGACTTGTTCTCACAAATCACTTGCTCAATAAATACTCGAGCACCAACTCTGTGCCAGGCCATTGCAGGGCTCTGGAAATATGACGGCAAACACAGCTGACCTCGCCCAGGTCTCGGGACCTTCAGCCTCACCATCCTACCTCTGCTGGTCCAGGGACACACGGTAAATCGGCCACATGAATAGGGATCTCCAGCGGGGCTGCTTCATCATACAGAAGCCATGGCTGAAGCTGGGGTCAGCAGCCACTGGACAAACTCATCTGCTCTACTTGAGGACACGAGCAGGGTTGTCATGGGTAACACCAATGAAGAGGAGATCTGAATTTCGGGGAAGCAGCCTGCACTTGGAGTTGAGAGGCCCAAGTTCCAATCTCGAAGGGGCTCTCCTCCTTCCATAATTATCTAATCAACTAATGAGCATGGGTCTAAGTCTGTGGGAGCTTAGACAAGCTCCAAAATGCAAAACTGTGAGCAGAGAGCTTGGTACACTGAGAGCCACCTGTCTTCCTTCCAGAAGTTAGTACTTCTGGGACTAACTTTGCTCTCCATAAAAACCCTCCCCATTGGCAGACACACAGAAACAACCCCAAGGGTGAGGTTTGTAACTTGCCTGAAATCCTGTGGCTTCTCACATCCCTTTGTCTGCCAAAAATAATGGAATGCTCTGGGTGACTGACCAATTGAATCTACAAAGGACGTGAATTGATACCATGAGCTTTGCCGGGCCCCCAACAATAGAAGCTTCTAAGAAAGGCCATAGATGGGGTTGGAATTTCCATTGGCCCTGGAATATAGGGCCTGGGAGAAAAGGCAAGGTCTCGGCACCAAGTCAAGGGTCCTTTCCATGCCATCTGCTGCCCTGAGCAGTGTGCTAGCAAGAGTGGGTACCTGTATATTCTGGCCTGCCTCATAAAGAAGTCAGATCATCGTCAGGCTCAAGGCAGAGAATATGGGGTGGCTTCAAGCCCCACCTAACGTGAGGTATTTCTTCATCTCCATCTGGCCCTGCCCAGCATGCCCCCATGTTCCCACATACATCCTCAGAGCTGGGGAGAGGCCCAGCCTAGCCATGCCCTACAGATCTAGGACACCGTTGTGGGGTTTGCAAGCACCACAGTAGCTGGCTGAAGTCTTGGGGCTCCTGGTAAGAGACAGCGGGAAGGGGATGTGGGGATGTGTAGTGAAAGAAAAAGACAGAGATTTTCCTGGTTGCTCGACAAACATAAGCCCAGTCCTTAACTTCAGCCCCGGCTCTGACAACATCAGATCACAGTAAACCTCAGGTCCCTGTTTACTCCCCTTCCCCGGCTCTACCTCCCCTGGTTTCTCAGTGCGTCTACTCTTATCTGGCACTGATAATGTGTGGGCTCTGAAAAGGTGCCCTTTGGTCTAAAAGTGTGGGGATTCCAAAAAGCCTCCAAAAATGAATGACTCAATCGAGGCTAAAAAGAACCACATCGTCCAGATACGTACATTTGCTGGGACCCAGCTCGCAAAGCACTTTAACAATCTTTTCGCAACCTCTGTCCACATGGAGTGAGGCTGCAGGGCTGCCATTCCTACTCCTAGATTCTTGTCTTCCTGGATGCATCGTCAGTCCCTGGTTGGGATTCCAGCACCGAGAGCTGCGCTGCTCCATGTAACTCCTCCACTGCCTCTGAAGACCCCCTTTAGGACCCAAGGATCAAAACCCTACCTCAGGGTGCTCATCTTGTTCTCCCTGTTCTAGTAAAAAAAAAAAAAAAAAAGACGAAAAAAAAAAGACTAAGGGACTGATCCTACTGCCCTAGTCTCATTCCAAAGGGGTTCCTAGACTTGCTGTTGATAAAGTCGACAACTGCTCTTTGTTTAGTTCTCACCCGACCTCCTATTCCAGTCAGAGGGCTCCTAGGCCACCCCAAATATCTGTGGCTTGCCCACATCTGCACTGTGCCTTTGTTTATGAGTTACCCCCTTGAAGACTTTCCTGCAGCTTCTTTTGTTTGTTTTTGTTTGTTTGTTTGTTTGTTTGTTTGTTTCTTGACAGTTTCACTCTTGTTGCCCAGGTTCTAGAGTGCAATGGCGCTATCTTGGCTCACTGCAACCTCCACCTCCCTGCTGAGTAGCTGGGATTACAGGCGCCCACCACCATCCCTGGCTAATTTTTTCTGTATTTTAGCAGAGATGGGGTTTCACCATGTTGGCCAGGCTGGTCTCGAACTCCTCACCTCAGGTGATTCACCCACCTCGGCCTCCCAAAATGCTGGAATTACAGGTGTGAGCCACCGCGCCCAGCCTCCTGCAGCGTCTTATCTGTCACGCAGACTAACATCCTTTAAGACATGCTCCCAGCCCATGGCTAGAAAGGCTGCAGAATGTGGAACTATTTGATGTCCTAATAGCTCCTGCCAACATGAAAATGAGCAGCAGGCTCAGTCATGCTGCCGAGGTTAAACTTCAACTGTTTAAACGCCAACCGTGGAATCTGCAAATGGGTAAATACCATACTCTGTACAGGGAGCCAAAGAATCCGCTCGAAGCAGCTGCTCAATATGTGTCAGACCGGGCCTTAGTTACAGAGCAACACAGACGGACTAACAAAATACATATTCTGATGTTTCATGAACCTGCTACGTCAGGGAGACTAATTGAAACAGCTCTCCTGCCAAGCAGAAAATTCCATATGGAGAAGAGATAAATAAAAAGAGGCTGCGGGCTGTGGAACATCAGAGGAAAGCAGGTCCCTCTGAGAGATGTAAGTTAAATATGTTTAGTGTAATCTGAGATACCCCGGGGCCTCTCCAGCTTGGACAGACAGATGAGGTTACATTAGGAATAACCTGCATTCCACTCCATGCCCTGGCTGCTCGTGATGAAGCCTTAGCAAGGGCTCCATGTCTATTTCTGGCAGTGCCAAGGATGTCTCTTGGTTTCTCATGAACAAAGCTGGTCCTGCCAAGCACCCATGGGGTCTACCAGACCTGGCTGTTTCTTGTCCATGCCCAGAGCAGTGGGACCTTCTTGTTGATGCATTGTGAAGTCAAGACCTCTCCCCACTTTGTATATGTACCCCAGGCTCTTCAAGGATTTTTAGTGAAAGGGCCGTTTGAGAGTTTGAATCATTGATCACCACCCACATGGCACTCAGGAAGAGCTGAACCCAGGGACACATCTGAGCACCAGACATGGCAGGTCATCCTCCTCCCCCAGGATCATCCTCCTCCCCCAGTGACCAAGGCTTCATTACTGAATCCAGCTGCTTCTTCTCTGGTGGAATTCATGTAGTCATGGCTGGTTAAGTCTCAGTGTTAGCCAGACCTGCGAGTCCCAGCTCGGGCTTGAGCAGAGTTCCCCATTAAAAGGAATTAGACTCTTTTTCTTTGTTAAATTGCCTTAGGAGGTAATGCTTCTGGACCACAGTCATGGAACACAGACAATTTCTATCACAACATCAGATGTTAATGATATCCTAGGCTCATGTTTGTGTTGTTATAATAGACTGAGAATTAAATTAATTTAAACAATGACATCTATAGAAAAATTATTTTGCTGGGTGCGGTGGCTCATGCCTGTAATCCCAACACTTTGGGAGGCCAAGGCGGGCAGATCACCTGAGGTCAGGAGTTCAAGACCAGCCCGACCAACATGAGGAAACCCTATCTCTACTAAAAATATAAAAATTAGCTGGGTGTGGTGGTAGATGCCTGTAATTCCAGCTACTCAGGAGGCTGAGGCAGGAGAATTGCTTGAACCTGGGCAGTGGAGGTTGCAACGCACAGAGGTTGTGCCATTGCCCTCCTGCCTAGGCGACAGAGTGAGACTGTATCTCAAAAAAAAAAAAAAACCAAAAACAGAAAAATCATTTTAATTTATAGAGTACATACTTTTGTAAAAACTATTAAACGCTTAGAAATTTTTTTAAAAAAACTGTGCAACCTTCAGTAAATTATCATATCACTCTGCCCTTCAAGGTATTAAAAGAAATAACCCCAAATTCCAATAATCTCTAACACTCAATGAGTCTCCATAATCTATACTTTCCCAAACATAAAAGAACAAAAGAGATTTTAAAAAGTACTGGAGAAATTTATCGCCTGCCTCCATGTCTATAAACGTTCCATGGACACAAAATACAATCATTTAAATTCCCTGGAAACCACCTATATTTTTGCAAAAAATTCATTCTGACCAACAGTTGGGAACCAAGAACAGGCCTAGAGCTCCTAATTTAGGCAGCTGTCCCAACACAAAAGCAGAGGAGCCAGAGGTGAGTTCTCCAACCCCGCACCTGTGTCTGCAAACGTTTACACAAGACCCTTTAATGGAGAACACGCCTTGTAGGGCAAATTCGACTTTTCCAAATGACACTTCTATAAGTTACTACATCTCTGTGAAGGATGCTGGATTAGTATTAACTGTCTTGCAAATACACATACAGAAACTCAGGTAAGGTCAGCCTTACTCAGTAGATAAACCCCAAACACGAAACCAACTGGGTCAGCCTGTCATAGCTGGATCCCTCTTGCATGTAAAGACAAAGGTTGTCTACTTGGAGATGGAGAAGAGTTCAGCATAGCTCGCTTTGGGGCCAACTCAGAGCATGGGTGAACCAATCCCAGCTGTCCTCTGACAAATAACAGCAGGAGTCCTGCCAGGAGCTCCTCCCCCAAGCACTCGGCTCCACGAGGCAAACCTCAGAGAATTACAGGGGAAAAGGGCTCTCCATTTCTCAGTAGGGGGCACCCTGGTCCCCACCGCCACTTTGTTTGCCCTCCAAGGGAAAAACCTCTCAATATCAGGTCCAGGAGCAGCTGGATGGGATCACTCAGAACCCAGCCAAGAGCTAATTTTCTCTTGGCTTCAAAATATCCTATGCTTGGAGATGCTGGGGCTGGGATTCTACAAACCACATTCTGGCTTCGTGCCCTGATAGGCTCTGCCCTCGGGAGCGCTAGCAGGAATCTGCAAGGATAAGGAGGAAGTAGGAAGTGGCTCCTTGTTCACTTCCTGTTTGCTTCCTGTTCACTTTCTATCAGCTTCCTGTCCCTGCCAGACAGGTTGCTAACCTTAGCAGCACTTTTTCTTCACCCGGGCAGTGGCAACTCCTCCCAGAAACGTTTCAATGCAGTTTTTGGTTTTTCCAACACTCACAAAAGCAGCCTCAGTGGGGGTCCCCTCAGAGACACCAACAAAACAGCTCCCCAATTCAAAGGCGGGGGAATCATCCCCACAGGGGCTCCCCTCGGAGCTCAGAGATACCAGCTGCGTTGAGCAGCATCCCCACTCCCCCACCTCAGAAGTCTGAGATTCAGCCCCGTGTCCCTTCTCCAAGTAACTACCTTTCAATGAGTCCAGCATCTTCCTCTTGTTCCCAAGCCTCAAGTGTGATGCCTGCTTCCTGTGGTGCTACCTCCATGCATACCTTTGTATTCCCTTCCTGCCCTTTACTGTCACCTGGTTAATCATCCTTTATATTATCTCTAATAAAATAGCTGGTGTGATTTCTATCTCCTGCCTGGACCCAGACGAATCACCCACATTTTGGTCCTGAGCATCTGTGGCAGAGACTAGAGCCGGGGACTGCCCAACCCCACCAGAGAGCAGTGTGGGAGGGCACACAGTCACCCACCCACCTACAGCTCACATTCTAATCTGGTTTCTCTCAACCAAGCTCTGCATGAGCAAGAGCAAGTTCAGATTTAAAGGACACCATGAAATGAGTGGTAAATGGAGCTTAATTGCTGTACGTTCTTGGGGGATGGCTGCAGGGACCCCTAGCTAAACATTTGCATGTTTCTCCTTGTTGGTCAGTAGCGAACTGTAGAGAGCATCCTCATCACAGGCTTTCGGGCAAAGATGATCTTGTTATAGTTTTCAGCTGGACAGTCTCTGGCATCCGTATGTAAGCGTGTGGGTTCTGGGATCACGGTAGGAGCCATGGCCGAGACCGAATAAGCACCCCACATTGATAACGTGGATTCTGACAGCATGTCCCTGAACACAGCTTTGCCGGAAGACTTGGACGACTTTCTCCTTTTTGGCTGAATGACGCTGGAAGGTTTATTCTGCCTAGATGCCCAGGGGCTTTCTTCAAGGGCATGCATGCATTCCAGTTCTCTAGTTTTGCTTTTCTCAATGAGTCGTTTCACTGTCTGGGAGGTATAGGTGACATAGGCTGGCCAGGGGTCGTGTTTTTCAAGCAGCTTCCGGGGAAGTCCAGTGTTTTCTGTGAGTCCTACCAGCAAAGAAAGACAAATGCAGGCCATTTAGAGGCAGTCACATGCAATAGCTCGGTTCTTCACACAATGGGAAGGCCTCGGAACCAGATTTTGAAGTCCTCCCTATTTTGCACCCCTTGTATTCAGTCAGAATAAAATCCAATTTAAAGTAGGGGAACAGAATGACATCCTAGAAAGTATATCAATTAAACAATGACAGAATCGTAAGGAGCAAGAGACAGAATCAAACAGACCTGATTGATTTTAAATATTTGCATAACCTCAAATTGTTTTACCCCTAAACTTCTATTTTTTCACCAATTAAAGTGGTTAATCGAAGGCCTGACAACTAAAGAAAATAATTATTTCAAGGGCTTGGAACAGTACATCTTAGTGCTTAAAAGCATGGGTTCTGTACTTGTCTGCTTCAGATTCCTACTCTACCCTTTTCGTAGCTGTGAACCTTGAGCAAGTTTCTTAACCTTGCTAAACTTCAAGTGCCTCATCTGTAAAATGGTGATTAGAACAAGACAAAGTTCATGGAACTTTCTTGTGGATTAAAGATAATTTATGTAAAGCTTTTAGCACAGTACATGACATGTAGTAATCAGTAAATGGTACCTAAAACTTTTGGCTATGTCTCCCAGCCCAAACTATTTCATTTAATCCTAGTTACACCTTATAAGGTAGGTATTCTCCCCATTTAATAGAGGACGAAACTGAGGCTGACTAGCTTGCACGACTAACAAGTGGTGGGTTTGAACTCAAGCTTAACAAGGCTCAAAAAAACACAAAGCTTTTCACTATGGTTGCTGGCCAGAAGTTTGGGGTGTTTGCCAAGAGGGGTAGGTGTTGCTAGAAATTCAGTCCATTAGTTTATCAAGCAGCCTGTTCCTTTACAGATCCAAAATCATGGGCATGTCAGTCCTTCCGATCTTTCATTTGCAACGTCACTCTATTTAGCAGAAATGATTCCATTTCTCTCCTGCAGCTGCTACCTTCCTCTGTGTTCTTATGTGGTGCATTCTTTCCCTCATTCTCTATTTCTTTGGTCAGTTCAACTGGAGTTTTGCAGGGAGGGGAGTTAAAAGAGTCATCTTGCCATCTCCAAACTGAATGTAGTTTTTAAAAAAATGCCGTCAGTGGGGATGATCAAGTGAAGTGTAGGTTGTATTCCCACACTACCTCGTGCGTGTCCAGGAGCTGGAGTTGGCTGGGGACAGAGCTGTCAGGAAAGAATGTGCTGTAGAAGGATTCCATCTCCCTGTAAAAGTCATGTGTGACATTACCTCTCCCTAGAAAATTCCCGGCAAGGCCTCCAAGCACAGACTGTTCACCCTTGCCTCCTCCGAGCAAATGTAAAGATCTTGTGGGATAGGGCATTTGCATGAATCTGGCAGAGTCCAAACTCAACTGCCTGGAGCAAAATGAGCAGCAACCCCCTTCCATCTCGTAAACTTGCTTTGTTCTCTGCCAGCATAACGAGAGTGGCCGCGCAGTGGCCTCTTCCCACTGCAAATCCTCCAACCCTAGACAGCCCCAGGGCAGGAGCTTCCATTGGTAATGCTCCCAACCCTACCTTCTTTCTTCATCCTTCTTGCATCCATCTTCTTTTTAGTATTTACTGATTTCTTAACATCACAGGTCCGGATTCCTATGGGAAAATACGCTTGTTAGCCAGAGCCTCCTCAAACTGGCCTGAGTTTAGGAAAGTGATTAGTAGCCACCCTGAGGGGGAGGTCCTAAGTCCTATATGGTCTCTGCATCAGGCTAAGGTGACTTCATCCCCTGAGAAGAGGACATGTTTTCTGTGGAGCTGGAGACAGGCCAGGTGAGCCCCGCAAAGGCCTGCAGGCATGGCAGGAAAGAGGCTGAGTAGGCTGGGGGCCGTGTGGAGGCTGGTTCACAGAGAGGAAGTGGGAAAAAAAAGTCCCCATTTCAAAACCTTGCTATCTCCTCTACCAGATTCCGAGAGTGGTCACATTACTACAAGCGCGACATCCAACCTGCACTTCTCAGCCTGGAATCAGGGAGAGAAGGTAGCAGAGATGGGCAGCAGCCAGGAGTCAGCTACC